CACAGAACATGGAGGGCAGACCTACAGTAAACACAGAAGCCATGAAGATCTATTTTTAATTTTTTTTTTCCATCTACTGCAAGGCTCTGGAAGCCCCGAGTACTGTAGACTCATCAGATTGGATTCACACCTTCTGTCTGGTTGTGAGTACATCAAACATTGCTGAAGAAAATGAACACAGCTCAGCTACAGGATGGTTCCTAGATGCTGGAAGAATTCCCTTAAGGGCTGCTGGAAGCGCACAAGGCTTGGAGCATCCTGAGGATGTGGAGTGATACAGAAGTGTGCTGTTCAACCATGTTTGTACCCTTATTTTCTCCTGAGTTAAAAGAAGTGCAGAGTGCTGGGTAAGATTCCTYGAAAGCAAGAAGGAACTGTGCTAGCTTCTGGTAATGCCAAGTAAACAACTCCCATGTGGTGTTTTAGAGGCCCTAGGTCCATCCTGAAAATCCCTGTAGGAAGTACTACTCTCAAAAGAGCTTCTTCTCTCTTCTGCCGACATCAAAGTCTTCTCTATTAATTTAATTTTCTCCTGCTGCTTGCAATAGTCCTTCTCTGCTCCCCATGCACTGAGTGTTTTTAATGTAAACATGCCCTGGCAATACTATGTTTAAATAAGTAAGAGAAAAGTCAGGATATCTTGACAGTATCGATATTGCATATTTAATTCAAAARCTTGCATGTGCTTTTTAAAGTTTCTCTTCATAGGTGCATGCCTTCCTGGGAAGAATGGTGTTGCAGTTGGATTGCACATCATTATCTAGAGCTGACTAAATATTGTTGTGTTACAGAAGTTTATTTTTAAGCTGTTTGGGATGAATCCCCAGCCAGTGTAAATTGGCCCACATTTAAGGCAACAGAGTGAAGCTGATTTATACCAGCTGAGGCTGTGTCCTTATGCCCTGCTAAAAGCTAAAACTATACCAAAATTAATAAGAACAGGGCAAAAATCATGAACCCAGGCAAATTTTTTACCTATTTTTAACACAAAAACAAACAAAAAAAATACAGTGATCTCACTTCAAGACTAAAGCAAAGATTCAATAGTATTTAAAATGTATACAAATATCTCATAGCTAGTATTTAGACTAAGAGGTAGATGTCATATTCTAGGAATTGTATAGTGTGGAATGATGCTAATGGCAGTTGCTAAACACATTTATCTGCCTGTTACACAGGACACAAAGGAGGGTGATAGCAATGGCAACCACAAGAAGGCTTACAAAATTCTTGTCTTCCTTTGCTATTCTATGTTATCTGGCTTCCAGTGCATTTCATCTGGAAGGGTGTGATGGAAAAGTGTCAAGAAGTAAAAAAAAAAAAAAAAAAAAAAAAAAAAAGATCTATAATACAAAACTTCATGTTTACAAAATGTTAGCTTTATCATTAAAGGCATCCTCTGTACTGTAATGGAAGCATTTTGTACTTACAATTTAAGATTATCTGGTGTTACTGAGTGGAAATTCCAGGTGAGGTGATTCAGCAAAATAGGGGTCAGAAGAATGCAGCTCTCTCTCTCTCTTTCACTCTCTCTTTTTCTGTTGTTCGTGCTAAAAATACCAGGGCATATGGCAGCATATTTCAGCATCTTAACATACTAGGCTCCCTTGAGGACAGAAAAAAAGATGAAACTTGTGCTGTTGAGCCAGAAATAAGATTACAGAACAGTGTTGCCAGCCATTCAGAGCGCTGGCAGCAAAGCCATCAGTGGAGTCAGTGTCTTACTTTGCCTAAAGGTGTTTCAGTGGTATTTAATGGTGCTCCGAGGGATGGAAGCGAAGCTGGGGAGAATGAGGAGCGGTATGAGCGTTTTTTTGTTATAAATTAATTGTCACTGCAAGTAGAGGAATTACACATATTGCATTAGGATATCCACCGCTTGTCTACGAACCTTCCACTTGTCCCTTGTGACTGCCAGGGGTCACCCCCTGCTTGGAATAATCAAAATGCATATTATAATTACACGGTTTTCCAATATCCATACACAGCAAGTACAAGATACTTACATGTAAGTACACTGTATTTACCTATATTTTTGCATAGTTTTTAGTGTGTACTTTGTGCCACTTAATAAAAAGCATTACTCATCATTTTTGTTGCTGCTGTTTTTCCTTATTAGACAGCTTGTTCAATTAGAGTTGGAGTTGCTGGGATTTTTGGTACGTTCATCACAGATTACCAGTTCCTAGGAGTGCAGAGATTAGACATTTGGAGGAGTCTGGGTAAGCGGTGGGGGAAGCTGCAGCGTGAACATGAAAGTTTTAAATCACCTCCTTAATTAAGAAACGCAATGTCAGATTTAATGACGTTAATTCATTAATAAACTTACCTTTAATTTGAATGGAATTGTAAAGGTAAGAAGTCCATTTTCCTTTCGGTAACACTTTACAATAAGTGGCACTAAATTACACTAGAACTGCTATGTTACAGGGAATTACATGTAACTACACTGTAACTGTTGACTGTACATGTGCGTACATGGTAACTTCAGTGCTGTTACAATCATGAATTACATAATTACAGATGATTCTGTCCTTTCTTTTCATTGGAATAGTTATATATATTTATATATATATATATTATACTGCAATGAAAATACACAAGATGTCAACTTTCATGTCTCACTTAGAAAACTTGGGTTTTCTTCATGTGTTCCTTTAGAGAGGGAGTCTCAGTGCAAGACGAACCATCCTTAAGTAATGTGGAAACTTTTTGAAGTGCTCTAGCTTAAACTCTGAGCCTCAAGTTAAACATCAGGTTCCTTAAACTGTCTCTTGGTTTGTCAGATGAAGCTAAAAGAGTGGGATGATGCACCCCTTGTCTTCTGATGCACCGCTTTCTTGTTCAGATTGTGAGAATGTTCTTGAAGCATTAAAAAAAAAAAGAAATCAAAAAAATCTACATCAAAAAGTTTAAAAATAATCAGCAATCGACACTGTAAACAGTACACTGGCAGAAACTAGCTACCTGGTSTGGAGAAAATTACTCTGCAAGTGAGTGAGGGAGAGGATGTCACAAACATTTCAGCAAAGGTGGTTCCCATTCAGAGCCTCCATTTTACACACTTGCTGGGTACCTTGCACCATATTTTTTTTTTTTTTTTTTTTTCAGAATGGGAACTTGGGCAAAGGGAATAGACAACTGGCTTTTAGTCTACTTAACATCATTGGTGTTGAGCCATGGTTTTTGGCTCTTACAACAAAAGCTGGATGCCTCTTTGAGCCCGGCGCGGTGATTTGAACCCGTGAGGAGCAGAAGGGGCTGCAAAGAGCTGCACTGGCAGAAYGCTCTGCGTGGAGATTTTCACACCTGCTGTGCACAGATGTGAGAACATCACCAGGTGCAAGGTAATGGAAGATCAACTGGGTTAAAAATGAACATGTTTTCATTAAAAGCCAATGAAAAAAACCTATTTTAACAGTACAATTTATATATCTTTTTTTTTTTACCATGTTGAAATGCTGTTTCTATGCCACTGGAGAAAATGGTTTGAAATGGTTACCACAAGGCCAATCCTGCTTTTGAAGGTCCTGCCTGACCTTGGCTGGGTAATGGTTCAAGTAACAATCCTTCTATTGAAGCGAGCTGGGGTTAGGAAGAATGAAGAAAGGCGTAAACACCGCGCTGGTGGGGAATTCCACTCGAGCAAATAAGGCCCTCATCCAGGGAAGCACTTTGTTTTTCAGCATATGAACAGTGCCTTATACTCCAAGGGAACTTCTCTGACGCCTGAAGCTGACTATGTGCTTAAAAGCTTCGTTGAATGGGCCCCAGGTCCTGAAATAAAACTTTGATGCTGTACTCTAGCTAACGTAACTCATTGCTGTGACAAGAACCCATATTTTTGGTATCAAACTCAATGACTTCCTTTACCAGCCTTTTGCATGTGTATGTTTTGAAATACATGAATATCTTGTAAACCTATACTAGTTTTCAATGTGTCTAGTAGCACCTACCTGGTTCTCTCAAACTACCATATTATATTAACATATTATTGCATTTTTCCACAGATGGGTATGGAGTGAACTGTAAAAACAAGCATGCAATCACATCAATGCAGACTTATTTCTTTAAAATGTCATACTGTATATGATTTATTATGTTAACACTCAACCACATCATATTATTTATGTCTGTATATTTTGAAAAAAAGTGCTGCTTTGATTGACGTCACCCTTTTTTTCTTAGAAATGAACAAGATAAATGCTTCAACAAAAACAATTAAAATACTCTAATATTGTCCTTAAAAGGTTCATATTCTTCTGATAAATAATCTGTCACAGCACCTTTATCTTCCATTTTACCATACCACATGATGTCGTATTCCAAATTCTCCCTTCCCCACACAAAAATAAAATCCCAGGAGAAAGTCCTTTACAGCAGACCATCATGCTTTTATGCTTCACAAACACATCAATCAGAGAGAAATACTTCTTTTGTCAAAGGTGCAAAACACAGGAGCAAAAGGAGCTCCAACTAGACTAACTTGCATTCTCCAGTGTAGAATCATTTCCAAGACCTGTTATGGCAACCTTTTCTTTTCATTGGAAGAGGAAATAAGCCGATGGGCTTACAGTGTTTTGTTGTCATATTTAAGAGCATGTGATTTTTCAGCTGTCAATTACACAAAAAAAAAAAAAAAAATCTTACCGTGCGTCAAATTTTGTTATGTGTTTCTTTTGAGACAAAGAACTGATGTGAGAACTGTCACGGACACTCCAAGAGATGCTCACTGGAGAACAGATGCTGTTGCACTGGGCTTTGTCAAGCAGCATCTCCACATGTGGAATTCTCCAAGGAGCAAAAATCATTCATACTTGAGCAACTTCTAAATACAGTGTGACCTTGTAAAATACAGTGTGACCATGTTGGCACCAAAGTAGATTCTGAAAAGTCTTTGAGAAAAGTTTTCTCCATGTGGTACTACTCAGGAATAAAATTCTGTGGGGTAGCTGGTGCTTGAAATAATGAAANTTTTTTTTTTTTTTTTTTTTTTTTTTGGCAAACCAACATAGAGAAGCAGCTCTGGAACTGCCAAATTAAAAATTGAGAATTTTAGCAACTCAATAGTACTTTTTAAGGATAGTAATCAAATGTGGTTGTAATTTAAAACCTGAGGCTGTGCACTGGTTGTTAGCTTAAAACTACCTTTCCATATAACATTGTGCTTCCATTGTATAACAAAGAAAAAAAAATTAACAAGAACTAGAAAAGTTTGCTGCTGAACAGTGCTAGGACATACAGACAAAAAAATACTAATACATGTTATCTACTCAGAATATTGATTTGAGTCATATCTAAAGGGACATAATGGACATTAGAAAATGCTTACTTGTGACTGACTTAGCTACTGCCAAAAAAGTTGAATATGTATCAAATAATGTTTAATTGAATTTATTATATGCACTATATACAGATACTAAAATGCCTTGCAACTGTGCTCCCATGAACACATCAAATTTGAGTAGGCAGGTGAGTTCATGTTTAGCAAATAAATTACAAAAACATAAATTACTCAGAAAGTTCTCTAATCTTGGTGATCCCAAAAGCAAGTAAAAGGGCAGGACAAATTGTTTCAAAGAAGCTCTACGATCTAAATTTGCAGAATCTGCATAGCTACTCAGAATGTTTTCACCACTGAAACATGGCACTGTTGTCAAGGTACCATTTAAATCATCACAAAACAAAGCAAAACAAAACAAAAAAATTCACTGGACTGATCTTTTTTTTTTTCCACCAAATCCAAGTATACAGGAAACTATACTAAACAGATTTCATTTTTTTTTCCAAGGGCATAAGTTTCAAAAACAAGTTGCTTTTTTAATTATAGATAGACAGGTATAAAATCTTTGTAAACCTCTAATCTTAGATTCAACATTTTCTGTAAGTAAATTAGGACCTTACCTAATAGAACTTGTTATGAAATTTGTTCTATGACATACTAGTAGGGACATGATAAAAGAAAACCAGAAAAGAAAGCTGCGTAACACTTAAATATGTAGAAAACTTGGATTAAAATGATGATTAACATTGTTAAGGCTGTATATTCAAGCACTGTATGTTAAAGAGAGCAGTGGATATGATTTTTAGGCAACAAGAAACGTCCTGTTTTACGCATGATACTGTAATTATAGAATGATGATGTCAACAGCTGATTGTTGGCATAAACTGGCTACTTAGAGCAGGAATGTGAGTTAATAAAGATAGCAGAAGATGGCAGAAATGAATTCTGAGAAATGATAGCCAGYTTTCTCCAGCAGTCAGCCTGATAAGGAAAACTCCAAGATTCTAGCTCTGCATCTAAATGAAATACTCTTTTTTCTCCTCTGCATTGACTTGGCTGCCTTCTGCATTGATAATGGCTGTGTCGGCATCAGGTGCATCTTCAGCTCCTTTTGCTTCATTTGTTAAATATGTTCCTGTAGGAATCAGTACAAGAGAAAAGGAAAAAAAAAAATTAGGGTTTTTTTTTTTTTTCACCCCGCATTATAGGAAGCACATTCAATCAATGCACCATTTATTTTTTTAATGAATGAAAAGTATTTCTACACAGTTTCAGTATATATCATAAAGGTATGCTCAACTTTCTAATGYGCATAAGAAATATTTACACTGATATTTATACTGATAAGGGCACAGACAAACTCTATATTCAAAATAAATTAAGGGAATATTTTAATAAAATTCTACTTTATCTAACTGCAGTAATATGCAATATATTTTTCAATTATAGAATAAGTGATAAAATCTTGGTTATTTATTTCATGAAATATCCAGCAAAAACAAAGCAACTACGAAGACAGATATTCATAAACATGCTTTGTTCTGTTTTGTTTGGTTTGTTTTTTTTTTTTTGTAATGGCCACTGACTATAATTCTGCTTTTTCTTGATCATATCTATGCTTTAATTTTACAGAATTGCATCATAGTAAGTTCCAAGAATTATGAAATTGAGGCAGTTTTATTAACTGAATCAACTCATACTATATTAGCACAACTATTTTAATACTCTGGATACAAATGAAAAAAATGTGTACACTAGTCACATTTCCCTTTGTGAAAAGCATTATTTATGTTGGCATAAGGTGTACAAGTGTTCATTCAGGAAAGTAATACAAAAGAGACACACTTTCACTGGCTCATTATAAAAAATTCAAATTCCCTCCCTTGTAGTCCAATCAAATTGAAAAGATTTTTTTTTAGAAATTTATGTTTGCTAGGCATATAATCATCCTATATGAAATGRGACTTAATGAACTAATACCAACATTAACCATATCTTGTTTGTTTTTGTTTGGTTTTTTTTTGAGAGGCGTGGGTAGGGAATCAACTGAGTTTTAGCAATAAGTCTCCAAGCCACACAGAGTTTAAATCTCAAGGAGTGATTTTGAAACTAACTAGGTCAAAATCAAACTATAGAGAAGTCAGAAGTCAGYGTCACTCCATTCCTGTTGTCTTTAGTGGCAGAGGGGACTGAAAATGGAGGAGCCAGAATTTTTAAGGTAAAACCACAGAATAAAGTAAAGCTTGCCACAGGAATGAACCCCTTATCCCAGAGGGATCATTGGTAAACTGATTTGAAAACTCACCACTGCCTTCTAATATTATCTTTTAAAYATGTACTTAAAATATTAGCATAATCTATCAAGATTAAAAATTTTGTTCAACTCAGTGCGTATGTGCTCCAGTTAAAACTATGAAAACGTGGTGAGAACATGTAATCAAGTGTCTGGAGTTAAGAGCCACAACCAAGGGCAATGTTACCTCTCAGTCTCTCTAAATCCCTGATTTACCAGATGACCTTGGGCATGTAACTAACTCCAAGTCCTTTACCTTACCCAGGCCACTGTAAAACTGGTGAAATTTCACAGGGACTTCATTTGTAATTGGACTGATAACTAAGATTTTTTGTTCAAATAATTTAGCAGAGGGGGGAAGGTGAAAGGGAACAGCATTCCCAGGTGAAATCATGCCTTGCTCCCAAAAGTGACTGAACTTCCAGTGAATCTGTCCTACCTTTATGTCTTGCCAGGTATCGACCRAGGAGAATTATAGAACATAGAGTTACAAAGACGACTACAGCCACTATTCCTCCTATAACAGCATGGTCAGGTCCAGTGTGTCCAGCCAGGGCGTTTGGATCTGGAGGGAGACACAAAAAGCAAAAGTGGTCCTACACAGAMAAAGAAATGACAGGGAAATTCACAGTACCAGGCTTTATACTGATCATCATGAAAATAGGGCATTTCCCTCTTTAATATTCAACATGGTTATTCCCACTTTTACTCCCAGTATCTTATCGACAGCACAGTGCTGCTTGTATTCCCAGATTGTTAAAACCCTGAGGACATCACAGTTATGAAAAATATCACCTTATTCTTCTTTGGCAGAGGTTATTAAATGGAAAAGGTTTCTAGCTTTGTCCTCATCATTTTACAACTGAAAACCTGGCCATAGCTATTTATAGAAGGAAAAACAAGGAAGTGAGGATTGGGGATCGGATAGCATCAGCAGAACACTGCCTCYATAATACATAATTTATGGAATTGATTCTCAGTGGGGAACCCTTCCTCTCGTTGCTATCCTCTTGCACCCGAAGTGAAAAGGCAGATGAAGTGCAGCTGGGCCAAGTCCCCCTGCACATGGCTGAGGCTGCATGAATTTGGTCAGATAAAGGTATCAGGCACCCTGGAAGCTCATCGTTCAGTCACAAGCACCAGTCTGTGAATTTACTGCAAATACTCAATTAACACCCAATGAGAGCAAGCTGAAAGAGAAATCATGGAATCACAGAGTCAGCTGGAAAGGAAAAAAACCTTTGAGATCATCAAGCCCAACCAATGACCCAACATCACCATTAAAACTAAACCATGGCACTGAGYGCCACATCCAGCCTTTTCTGAAACCTCCAGGGATGGTGACTCCACCACCTCCCTGGGCATCCCATTCCAATGCCCAACCACTCTTTCTGTGAAGAACTTCTTCCTGATGTCCAACTYAAACCTGGCACAGCTCRAGGCCAKGTTCTCTTGTCCTGTCCCTTGTTCCCAGGGAGAAGAGGCCAAACCCCACCTGGCCACCTGCTCCTGTCAGGGAATTGTAGAGAGAGATGAGGTCTCGCCTGAGCCTCCCTTCTCCAGAACAAACYCCCAGCTCCCTCAGTACCTCTTCTCACAGGATTTGTGCTCCAGACCCTTCCCCAGCTCCGTTCCCTTCTCTGGACATGCTCCAGCCCCTCAACATCCTTCCTCCATTGAGGGACCAGAACTGGACACAGGACTCAAGGAGCAGCTCATCAGTGCCGCGTACAGGGGAAGGATCACTGTCCTGCTCCTGCTGGTCACTCTGCTCCTGATTTAGGCCAGGATGGCATCTGGGCACRCTGCTGGTTCATGCTCAGCTGCTCTCAATCAGCACCCACACATCCCTTTCTGCCTGGTCACTGTCCAGCCACTCTGCCCTGAGCCTGTAGTGATGCACAGGGTTGTTGTGGCCACATTGTACAGCAATTGCACCCTGGTGTTSTTAAAACTCACATCGTTGTGTTTGACCCAACAATCCAGGCTGTCCAGGTCCTCTGCAGAGCCCTCCCATTCTCCAACAGATCAACACTCCCCCACAGCTTGGTGTCACCTCAAAATCTGCAAATGGCAGAGTGCATGGGCAGGTTCATTTTCCTCACTGCACAGAGCACTGGGAATGCTATCAGATCCAAGTGTTCTCTGCTGGGCATTTGCCTACTCTGTTCCCTGATGCATCACAAAAGTTGCAAAGAGATAATCACGGGGAATGGCACCACTTAGGGATGAGTAATTCTGCAGAGCTTTCAACAATGAGCCAGCAACCTGTGACTGTTGACTCAACAGAGAGATCAGAAGGAGGCAAAAATTCAGTCTGAGGATCATGGTATGATTCCTATTGCAATGAAAACGCCTCCACTGMGAAGTAACAGTAATTCTCTGAAGATGTTATTAGCATCCATTGGATGCTGCAATCAGTCCACTCTCACTGCTTCAAGGGCATTTCCCTCATAGGAGCTATTTATACTCCACAAATAGTTTGCAAACAGTTGCTTTGCTTTACAAAAGGGAAGTCGGGAAAAATATTYACACAGAAAAGAGGACAAGTCTGTGAACATGACAGAAAGGCCTCTGATAACACCAAGGAGCTGTGATTCCRTAACACTGTAATTCCATTCTGCTGACCAGGGTGGTTGTGTGGCAGTGAAATGTCATTGTGTACATCGGCATGGGAATGTCATGAGGTGTGACAATCCAAGCACTGGTGCTGCACCCAGCTCAGGACAAATCCTGCTGTTGATCCAGGCTGGGGGATGAACTGATCCAGAGCAGCCCTGGGAGAAGGATTTGGGGTGCTGGTGGGTGAGACATGAGCTGGCCTCGTGCTCTTGCAGCCAAATGCATGCTGGGCTGCACCCAGAGCCCCAAGGGCAGCAGGGCAGGGAGGGGATTCTGCCCCTCTGAGACCCCACCTGGAGAAATGCATCCAGTTCTGGGGTTTGCAGCACAGGAAAGAYGTGGAGCTGCTGGAGTGAACCCAGACGAGGCCACCACCAAGGTGATGAGAGGGATGGAGCAAMTTTGCAATGAGGAAAGGCTGAGAGAATTGGGATTGCTCTTCCTGGAAAAGAGGCTTTGGGGTGCTCTAAAGGTGGCCTTCCAGTACCTGAAGGGGGTCTGCAAGAAAGGTGGAGAGAGGCACTATTTACAAGGGCATGTAATGATAGGAMAAGGAGAAATGGCTTCAAACTGAGAGGTTTAGATTAGATTTTAGGAAGAAATTTTGCACTGCGAMGTGCTGGCACAGGTTGCCCAGAGAGGCTGTGGATGTCCCATCCCTGGAAGTGCTCAAGGCCAGGATGGAGGGGACTCTGAGGAACGTGGTCKAGTGGAAGGTGTCCCTGCCCACAGAATCAGATGATCTCTAAGGTCYCTACYGACTCAAGCCATTCTATGATTCCACGATCTACAAACACACAMGTATATAAATAAAATGTTATATAGACGAAATAAAAGAATCCTGTTTTCCCCTCCTTTTCCAAAGGTGAGGCATTCTGAAACTACACTTTCAGACTTGCTAAAGMACAGAGTGGTGTGGCCACAGTTGCAGATTCAGTTCTGTTCTTAACTGGACCCACCAGGCATGAGTTTGTCACTTAYTGATGGCTTTCTGTGATTCCATATCCCATATCCCATATCCTTCTTTTTCTTCCACTGACCCCTGCTAGCATGCTGCCAGTAACATTGGAGTAAAGGGGATATTCTAAGGAATAACATACTTCCTGATATAATCCAGAGCAGGGTTAGCACAGAACTTTATCTGGAGGCATTTTTGAAAAGCTGATTGAAGAGCGCAGCCTCAGCTCAATACCCGGACTTACAACGCAYGTCCTCTGTGAGCTTTAATAAACATTACAGATAAAAAATCCTCACAATACACCCAGATAAATACACCTCTGTGTTTCTATCCTCAGGTGATTTCCTGCACAGAGGGACTCACTCCTCCTCTGACAGACCAGATGTGATTACATGAAGTGACCTAAGGCCTGCATAAATGCAAGGTCTCCAGCAATGAGTGTAGATTAATGACATTCTAATACTGCTGAAATAGACTGAAAATTTTTAACATTAAAATTAATGTAGGTATTCATTGGGCTGCAAAAGTAACAGTATATTTTTTTCTGTAATCTCAACCTTGCTATCAAAGCCAGATTTTATTGGTTGGTATTGCCAGAGAAGTTTCTCCAGGAAAAAAAATTACATAACATATTACCATTATATTACTAGTGAACAATTCCTTTGTTAAAAAGGAAAAAGGAAAAGAAGGAAGAAAGGAAAAGATGGAAGCAAAGGAAATAAAGATCYTTAAGAGTGGCAAACATTTTCTTGGGACAAAAATATTTTTTTCCATCTCAAAATGAAAATCTGTACAACATAAACAATATTCTGAACGGGGAGCATGCCTCATGAATAGTCTCCTCATAGAAAAATAATGTTAGCATTAAATATAAATACCTTCTGCATTATGCATACAGAGTAATGCACTATACTTTTGCCTTTCATGAAATGACCCAAGCCCCATGAGTGAATTATAGATCTGGGCCTTTCTATCACAGTATAAATAATTACTATTTCAAAATGTGCCTGAGCAGTATCTGAAAGATAGAAACACAGGGATTTGGAAACTGTGCCTTTTTGTATTTTAGGTATTTATACAGTGAACATGCACAATCATTCAACTGTTCTGGGCACAAGTGTTATCAACTGCCATGAAAGTTCCTGAAAGTGCTTGGTGTGTCTTTGGGCCCTGACCACTCCACAGTGTGCTTTCCAAAATACAGAATACTCTTCAAATTATTTTTAGACTCGTGTTACAAGCTTCATGTACTGTACCAAGTAGATCCACTTGGTACAGTATATCCATACATAACTCCAGCAAACTAAATCTTAGGTATGCAACTATGCAATAAATACTTATAATCCTGCTGTTTCCACAAAAGAAAAAAAAAAATAAAGAAAAAAAATGGACCACCCTGTTATTGCTTTATTATACACTGGTTTTTACTGGATGAGCAGTAATACTCATGGCAGCTACAATAGTCATGGCCTGAAACAGTGAAATTACAATTTTACAATCAGACTAGATCTTCAGAAATCAGCTTAGATCAGGTATTTTTCTGTTTATTTCATCCATTGATAAAACTAAGAGAACCTTATAGAAACATAATTACACAAAGCCTCACAATTCTCTTTTATTCCCTCTTTTATTTTTCTTAAATTTAGACTCTTCAAAATACAGATTGCCAAGGCTGTGAAAATGTACYCATTTTCAACTTTTGGGATATCCCTGTCACTTTTTGTTCACAAACTGTGAACACATCTAAAATAAATAACACACAAATTAAACAACACTCTTAAAATGAATAAGAGGAAAAAAATGTCTTCTTTGTTAAGAAACGAAATACATCACATAAATCTTAGACCTAATAAATAAGTAGATATGTGCTTTTTATGACCTGCTGACAAAGTTTCAGKGTCGAATATTTTAATATAAATTCACACTTTAGTTAAGCAGAGAAATTTTKGAACAGTTTTCCATGCTTTTGCATAAAGTGTATGTTA